ATCTGGGGTGGGCAGGAGGCTGGGGGAGTGGGTGGGGGGTGGGGGCTGGCAGGGGTCCCCCCCATGGCCTCCTTCCCCACCCCTAGTATTTACCAGCTCTGAGTCCGGCTGCAGCTCCCTGCTGCAGCCACTGGGGACTGCCCGAGTCATCAAAGCTCTCCAGATCTTTTCCGAAGTTTCAGAAAGCTTTGAATCAATTTGGACCTTTTAATTGGTCCCCTTATTCTATTCAGATTCAGATATTCGGCCACTGAATCAGGCCAAATCTCCTCTGAATCAAATAGCCACCCAAAGCTCTGCAAAGCCCTAGTAGCATGCTGTAAAATCTGTGGCCTCAGAAAGGTCATTGAACACATTTTCCTTTTTTTAGTCTAGCATATTAAAAACTGGGGGAGGAGATGGAGTTGCTGTTTTGAGCACATGGGAGGAAGAGAGAGATTACAGTAGCAATGGGTATGTTAGGAGGAGGAAGCAGGAAAGGAGAAAGAGGTGTCTGTGTGATGGACCATCCTATTTCATTCTTACTGCATCAGTATTTGTCTTCTGAGCTGCTTCCTCAGTGGAATTGCCGTTTTGAGCACAGGGGAGGAGAGATGTGGTTATGGCAAGAGGTCAAATGGGGGGAACTGGCAGAGAGAAATGGGGGTTCTGTGAGCGTGTGGCGGCTCGGAGCAGAAAGCTTTTGCATGTGCACAGCCAGGTTCTGATTCTGAACGTATTTTCCCCCATCTCCTCCCTCCCTCTTTTTCCCATGTGGTCTCTGTTTGAAGCACGCACAAGAGAAGAGGAACTTAAAAAGGTTACTAGCTCACATCCATCCAACAGGTCCTGGTCTACCATGCACGTGAAAACACTATCAGAAACTGCATAGTCTGATGTGGAATATCATTTACTTAAAATAGAAAAGTATCTAGTGAGTTTAAAGGAGTGTACTTACTGAATGAGGTTCCCTTCCCTAGACTGACAGGCTGGGTGGCCACTTTTTTTTTCTATTTTTCTTTGCTTTTTCCTCGGACTTTCGCATAGTGAGGGAGGTTCTGACTTTCAGCCAGCTCTGTTGTTGGCCTGTGTCAGTCCCAGCCTGCTTCCCCCGTGATTGCCTTGGTGCTATCCACGTGATACAGTTGAGGTTGCCTGGTGAGGAAGTCCTGTTCAGCTTTTCATAATGAGGACAGGTGGTCTTAATGAGATTAATCATATATAGTGTTAAGTGTAAAGTAAGAAAAATAATGAGCATTTCAACCATACCTGAAATAGTTTCAGAACAAGCCAGACTCCATGCAGAGAAAATTCAGATCCTTAGCTTTTTTGCAATCTGATTTCAGATCCTGGCTTTAAAATGATTAGGTGAAACTACAAGGTGACTCTTGCCAGGTTGCCTCATGCCTAGTGACAACAGGCCCCTAAAACCAACCCCATGAGTAAACTTTGTTGTTAGGAGCATGAGATTGTCCTTTCTTCCTCTTTCTAACATCCACATTCTAAAGCAACAGTCTCATACTAGTCACTGGATTTTAACTTTTAGCAGAAGTAGCAAAGTGGGCTGAAGTTAGAACACCATAAATACAAGTAACAATAAAGGGAAGTAGAACAATGCTTGTAATGTGTTATAATGTATATCTGTCATTCAGAGATTTTTTTTTTTTTAATTTGTTTTGGTCCCAGTATGAAAATCATCGTCTAAGGACAAAGGGGAGCAAACGATGGTGGCACATCATCGGTGATGTGGCTGAAGTTTTATTTTTCTCCCCCATAATTTAGACCTATTTAGACCTATTTAGACTTCTTTTAGCCTTTTTCTGATTTAGATTTATAGGAATAATTATAGAACTTGCATAAACTCTGCTTGCAGGTGTTTCATAAATCAGTAGGGAATAATAAGCATAGATGTAGGCATTCTGCTAGAAAGTAATTGTATCTTTGTTCATCCAAAGGTTACTTACAATTTTCCATAGCTAAATTATTTTTTTTTCCTGGACAACCTGTCATGCAACCAGACAGTTAAGTGAAGATATAGTATCCTGGAATTGTTACTGAGGCACGTGATCATAACATCTAGGGAAAGCATTTTTCCTGTCACCTAATAAATAACACACAATGTTCAAATTTGACAGGAAAACAACATTTTCTCAGAACTGGACTCTGGATTATTTGCTTTGGGGCTATTAAAAACAGTAAATTGAAAGGAGGGGAGGGAGATAAGTGGGATTCTTGTCTCCGTATTTGTGTATAAAAACTATTTAATGTTTGTTTGTAGCAAATACAAGAAGAATTGAATAAACAGTTATACGACAACATAATACGTTTTCTGAGACGATCTCACTCTGAATTCCAAGAGAAGAAGACAGAATGGACTTGTCGGATGAAGTCCAGTGAAATTCCTACTGCAGCTCTTGTCTTGGGTAACCATTTTTTGGCAGTTTAAGATAGATACTTTGTGTTACATCTGTCACATCTCTTGTCAGCTCTCTAAATTAATATAAAGGTCACATGAAATTGAGTCAGTGTGTTCCAGCTGTTGGAGCCAGGAGCTTGAGCTTCGGATACATTCAGCTCTCCCCTTGACTCTTGTTTGTTAACATGTTTTGGTTCTTGTTTTTTCTATGTGTATTAAGGCATAATATGAAAACATCTCCATCACAGACATTATCTTGGGGAAGAAGTATCAAACATATGACCTGTGGAGCCATTTTCTTTGGCCCATGGGGCTCCCAGAAGGGTTGGGAATTTGGGGAGGGGGCTGGGGCCTGCTGCAAAATCCAGAGCAGTGGGACCACGTTGAGAATTGGTCTTCGGTGACAGGGGGGGATGTGATGGCTGTGCTGACATGGTTCTGCTTGCCCTTCTGCATCTGGTCCAGACCCAGCCTGGGGTGTGGGCTGAGTTTTAGCACCCCCATCGTAGGCAGTCAGAGGCAGTGTTGAATAATAAATTGGAAATCAGGATGTTTGAATTCTATTCCCAGTTCTTCCACCAACTTGCTCTGCATTTTGTTTGAATTATCTAAATTGTTACATTGTTTCTCTTTACCTAGTATTACAGATGTCTTGTGTTTGTTCTGATGGCCCACTTTGACATATCAAAGTATTACCTTCTTTTTTTTTTTTTTTTGACAAATAAGGAACTTAAGAAAAAAAGAAAAGCCATGATTTAATCCATAAATATTACTGGGAGTTTCACCTTTAACCTCAGTGGGGCCAACATTTCAACTTCAGTGGCTATGGTAATATTTGACCGGCTGCCTCTCCTACAGTAGTGGGATTTTCTAACTAGCTTTGAAACTTGCTTGTCTAAAACAGTTACAAAATTGCTTAGATCTGTCATCATTAATCTGTTTAAGATACCTGATCCATTTCTTACTGAAATATTTTCATGAGACTTTTAGTCTTGAAACTTTAATATTGGAGTCAGGCTGTCTTTTGTTACCTAAAATCAGGTCTATGTTATGGCTCTACCTGTTTTGTGTGTTTTTTTTTTTTTTTTTTTTTTTTTTTTTTTTTT